TGGAAGTCTATTTCCTTTGCCAGATTGGGGAAGTTCTCCTTTATTATTTGTTCAAATAAGTGTTCCACTTGTGGCTGTTCCTCTTCCCCTTCTGGTACCCCTATAATTCAGATGTTGGAACATTTAAAGATGTTCTGGAGGTTCCTAAGCCTCTCCTCATTTTTTTGAATTCTTGTTTCTTCATTCTTTTCTGTTTGGTCATTTTTTTCTTCCTTCTGGTCCACTCCCTTTATTTGAGCCCCAGTTTCCTTTCCATCACTATTGCTTTCCTGTGCATTTTTCTTCATTTCAATAAGTTTAGCCTTCATTTGTTCCTCTAATTTGTGACTAAAATCAACCAGTTCTGTGAGCATCCTGATCACCAGTGTCTTGAACTGTGCATCTGATAGGTTGGGTATTTATTGGTCTTAGAAGTATTGGCGCTGGAGCTTTGAGCTGTTCTTCTTAAGCCATGTTTTGGTCTGTTCATGCTTGTTATGCATGAGGGGCGGAGCCTTAGGTGTTCACCAGAGCGGTGCCACCCAGGTTGCTGGATTGTGATGCTGTATGTGGGGGCGGGGTCAAAGAGAGGCAATAGCGGTCCCCTCTGCTGCTTCCTGCCGCTGGGGCCTGCGGGGTTTGTCTCACTGCTCGCTCCTTTGCCTGGTTTATCTGCGTATAAATGTGTGACTGCAGTCAGACAGCTGCCTTGCACCCTCGCTGGGTCTGCCCGTCCCAACCCCACTCCTGGGATCCGCCAACTGCCACCCACGCAAGCTTGGGTCAGTCTGACCCATCCTGCGCAACCCTGCTCCACCAGTCGCTGGCTCCGCCCCTCTTACCAGTCTGGCTGAAAGGTTTGTTGTCAGACTTCCACATAGTTCAATTTTCTGTGTTTTGGGTGCGTTTTTTTTTTTTTACTAAAATTTTGTTTTCTTTAAACTTGGTTGTGCAAGGAGGCACAGTGTTTCCACCTACGCCTCCGTCTTCGTCGGAAGACTCTATTTTTAAATAATATAATTTTCCAAGATTGACTACAAAAGAAAAATTTTTTAGTCTAAAATTCATTCCAGAGAGGAAAAAGAAAATATCAAAAAAGTATTACCACAAAAAGCAACATACTGAGATGGAAGCAAAGGTAGCTATACCAAACTTTTAAAGAATAGATTACTTCAGAGAAGTGTGAAGGAAAAAAGGAAACATTGCAATTTCCAACACTAATATATGTAATTATCTGTATATAATTACATATAAAAAAAATACAGCAGACCAATCTCACTTATGACTGTCCCAAATAAAATATTAGCAAATAAAATCCAGCAGAATATTAAAAAAATAATATATCATTGTCATGTGGAATACATACCACAAATAAATGCAAAGATGGTTATGTGTGAGAAAAAACAAAAATAAAATATCAGAAGAAATATCATCTATTCAATCTCCATAAATGCTCAGAAAACATTTGATGAAACTCAATTACCATGTTTGATACTAACATTAAATAAAGAAAGATAGATGTAAACTTCCTTGCTCTTTCTAACTCACTTCTAAAACTACCAATAGAATTGTACTTCATGAGGAAGTCATCTCCCCTATGTCAGTAAAAAATAAGGACAGATATTCTCACAAACATTATTTAACATTATATTGTATTTTCCAGCCCATATAATTAGAAAAGAGAAATCAATAAGAGATAAAATAATTAGCAGGGTATAAATAAAACTATTACTACTTGGAGGAGTTATAGTTATTACCTGAAAAACCCATGTGATTCAATAAAACAAAAATTATCTGCAACAGTAAATTTGCAAGACCTTTATAAAGAAAATTTTACAGAATGACAACAGATACCTGAACAACGGAAAGACACATTCATGTTTTAGGACAGGATCATCAACATCTTAAAGATGTCAATATTTCCTTAATCTACTTTATAAATTTAACTTGATGCCATAAAAATTTCAATAGTATTTCTTCTAATAAGACATTAATTTTAATCCTAAAATTCAAATGGGAATATTTATTTTAAGAGCCAGGAAAATTCTGTTAAAGAGAAGCAATGAGAAGATGGGGCAGGGGGACAAGTATTACCAAACACTGAAACATATGTGTTTACAGGAATAACTATAAAGGACACATGGACAAAAACAAGGGGGGTGGAATCAGGGGAGGGAGGTGGGGATGGCTGGGGTGGTAGGGAGAGGTTGGGGGAAAAGGCAGAAAACTGTACTTGAAAAATAATAAAATTTAAAAGTATTTAATAAAAAACATATTCATATTGTAAAATCTCGAAGGAGAGCGGCAAATACATAGGACAAATTAAATAAAACTTAAGGTCCAGAAATAAATTCAAATACGTATGTAAATTTAGCACATTTAGCATCTCAAATCAGCAGAAAAAAATAAATGATGGTGGGACAAATGGGTAATGATCTGGGGAAAAAACACTGGGTCCATAGTCCACACATTATACCAGGAAAAAACCTAAATGAATCAAAGATATAAATGTGAAATAAACCCATAAATGTTCTAGAAGAAAACATGTGGAAATCAATTTAAAACCTTAAGAGAAATACCTTTCTAATATGACTCAAAAATCCAGAAGTCATAAAAGAATAAAATAAATATATTTGTCTAAATAAAATATAATAATTGCCTGTGTGGCAAAAAAAATCATAATTAAAATTTAAATGACAAACTGGGAAATATATTCCCAATTTATATCATATACAAAGCACTAATTTCCCTAACATGTAAAAAGCTTCTATAAATCAGTAAAAAACACAGCAATCCAATTTTTAAGTGTGCAAAAGAAACCAAAAGTTCACATTAAAACAAAAAACAAATGAATTTTAAGCATATGAAAAAATGCTTAACTACACTCATAAAATTAAAACCATACTAAAATACTATTTTTACCTATTGTGTTGGCAAAGATCAAAAACAGTAACTATGATGGTAAGGATGGGGGAAATAGGCAAAATTGTCTATCTCTAATATGCTAATCAGTTTATACAATTTTTGAAGCCCTAGGGCTGACACAGTTGGTATACAGTTGACATTAATGAACATTTTTTAATAACTGTATTAATTTAATATTAACTAATGAGTAAGTGAACAAATGAATAAATGAACTTACATAGGAAGAAACTGAGAGGCACAGATAGAGTCAGTGAAGAAAATAATAAGGCAAGACCTACGCCAGGCTTTTCCATAATATATGTTCCTTAAAGTCACCTGCATATCTAATACCAACCTTCTTAGTCATTAATTCCTGAACATTACATTACAACAGATAGAAATTTTAATTCATTTTAATTGATAATAAAATGGCCAAATTGGGTCATTATTCAAATTCACTACTGAAACTAAAAGAGCTCTATATTATATTTTGTAAGTATTCTATTCTGACTTTTTCAGAGTTTGATTACATTCTATATCATAAATGTTTCATAATTTATAGTTATCATTAATAGTCACAAGTGTTTAACAATAAAAATACACATGAATTTAAGAAATTCTGTTCTCTAGTTCAATTTAACATCTTAAAGTAAAATTATTAATATTTCTTGTATGAACGATATCAGACCCTGGGTTTTTCATAAATTACTCTTTCTTTTATGATATCAGACCTTGAAAATTTGCATATTTCTGCAGTTAAATCTTTCAGGTGACATTTCCAAGCAAAAAGTGTATTCCAAAATTAACAAAACACAGTAGAGTTTTGGTAATAAAAGATTTAACATTTGTGTATTTAGCTATCATCAACACATTTAAAATCCAATGTGTTAATGAAAACCATAATGATCTACCACTCCACATCCATTAGGATGGCTAGTGTTAAAAAGAAAACTGCAAGTGTTGGTGAAGATGTGCAGAAATTGGAACCCTTGTGCATTGCTGGTGGGAATGTAGGATGGTGCAGCTGCTGTGAAAAACAGTTTGGCAGTTCTTCAAATGGTTAAACATAAAATTACTATATGATCCAGCAATTCTACTTCTGGGTATATACTCAAAAGAATTGAAAGCAGGGACTCAAATATACATTGTATACCAATATTCATTCACAGTATTATTCACAATAACTAAAAGGTGGAAACAACCCAAATGAACAAATGAATGGATAAATAAATGTGACATATACACACAATAAAATATTACTCAATCTTAAAAAGGAATGAAATTCTGATACATGCTGTAACATAGATAAGCCTTGTAAGCATTATGCTAAGTGAAATAAATCACATAGATCCAAAAAGATAGATAATGTATGATTGCACTTAATACCTAAAATAGGCAAATTCATAGAGACAAAGAATAGAATAGAGGTTGTCGGGGGCTAGGGAGAGTGGGGAATGGGAAGTTACTATGTGATGGGTAAAGATATCATTTGGAATGATAAAAAAGTTCTGGAGATGGATAGTGGTGATGATGGCACAATAGTGTGAATGTAATTAATGCTAAATTATACACCTCAAAAAGATTAAGGCAGTAAATTTCATTATGCATATTTTACCACAAAAAAAGACCGGGAAAAAAACTCTATTGTCATTCAACATGTCCAAAACTGTACTTACTATCATGTCTCTAAGCCAAATTTCAACACCACTTCCCAAATCAAAGGTAGTCCTTAGAGCGTTAAGCTTGCGTACCCTGTTTTCTCTCATTTCTTTAACTCCTAGATCTCATTTATCTCGAAGTTGCAGAAATACATCCTTCACATTATTCATGCTTTTTTCTGCCACTCAATAAGTTGCTTTAGCTACAGACAATAGGATTTTATAACTTACAAAATAGTTTACCTACATTAAATATATAAAATAGGAATATATGAAGTTTTAATAAAAATTAGTTTAAAATGTTCATTACTATAAAATTAACAATGAACCACTCAGAGTATTACATTCTAATCGGATCGAATGATTGCTTGACATTTAAGAACATCATTATTTATACTATTTATTGACACTACTTCACATTAATCTTATAATGTCAACAATGTACATTTCACACCTTACCTTTTCATGGTATTCCATGGCATCCAATTCACCTTGATTGCAAGTATGACACCTTTTACGCTTCTAAAGAGTAAATTACATCGAGAAAATTATATTGCTATCACAATATTAATATTTTGAATATTTTTCTTTACAACACTTTACGTATCATACTTCTCAGTCTTTAAGAGGTAATAACTGACTACCAAGGTTAAAATCAGTGCAGAGGGTATGGAGAAAGGCTAGAAAAGTTTTCCCAAATAATAATAATTATTATTATTTTTACTACAAATGTAATAGGTGATAAAAGGTCACCTCAGCCTTATCCACTATTACTAAGAAATAGTACCAAATGATAAAATGTAGCACTGACATCCACGGAATACAAAACTGTGAAAGTGTAGAAACAGCCCAGTGTCATCAGTTGATATATATAATTATTCTGCACTTTCTTTTCTGAAGAAAAGAACTATCATCCATGTACTATCACCAAAAACATTTTCCAATGTAGTCTTAGTAGTTGTTTATGACTAATTTGAGGGCGAGGTGCAAATCCGATATATTAACACTATTCTATATCTCGTAACTCCAGAGCAAAAAACACCTAAGACGGTACAATACAGAACAAGGACTCTATTTTTTATTGCTGAAACCTCAGTATTTAACTTGGTGGCAAACTCCTAGCAGACTAACAATAAATGTTTGTTGGCTGAATAAATAAATGGACTTAAGGTTAACCTAATTGTACAATTTGCCACAGCAAATCAGAAATAAGGTTACGTTTGTCAAGATAACATTCATTACATATGCTCATCTCTATTTTTCCATATTAAAATGAGAAATTTACCCAATATTTAAAATACCTAATAAACATTAAAATACCTAATAAAATACTAAAACCTAAAATACCTGAACATTAAAAGATATTGTCCATACTTAGCAAAGTATAAAGTCCTTTGGTACCGTGTGTTATTATTTGCCTGAATTAGTAAGAGTAATGATAAATTAACTACAAACTATATTGCTGAAAGCGCAGAAATATTCTTTTCTGTGCCTGACGTATAGCAGATGATCAATAAACAGTTGTTGAAATAGAAAAAAATATGTACAAAATATCACAAGAATACTAAAATTCTCTTTCAAGTACCTATCACAATATAATAAATTATCTCTATTACTTTCTTTATAGTAAATACTGTTAGTGAAGAATTAAAAATTACTCTGGATAGCCCTGGCTGGTGTAGCTCAGTGGATTGAGCGCGGGCCTGCGAACCAGAGTATCGCAGTTCAATTCCCAGTCAGGGCACATGCCTGGGTTGCAGGCCAGTTCCCAGCAGGGGACACATGAGAAGCAACCATACATTGATATTTCTCTCCCTCTCGCCTTCCCTTCTCCTCTAAAGATAAATAAATAAAATAAAAAATATATATTAAAAAATTACTCTGGATATATTTAAAGCCTTCTTATGCTTTATCCTTAATACTTAGTAAATCACAAGATATTTGAGACACTGGAATAATAAATTTCTTTAGTGTCTTCTGTAGAAATATAAAAATTTAAAACTCTCTACCTTCCTAAGAGTAGAAATGGAGATTTCTTTTTTAATACCACTCATTGTATCTTCCTTTTCATTACTTTGGCATTCCTTGTGAACAGCTGAAATCATATGAGGTTTATTGATATCAAACAGTTCAGGTCGAAAAATGTATTTTTGCATGAACGCTTCACAATTTCCCCTATCCTCTTTCTCTGGCTTAGTGGTAGAGTTGGAAGCAATAAATTTAGCAGATGATCCAAAAGAAGACATAGAATCCACATGAAGAGACTCAAGGTGGACAGAAGTAGTGGGCTCATTTTTGCTGCAACAAGGCTCATGATGCTGGTGAACTTGATAGTTTATCTTGTTAATGAACGAAAGATGATCCAGTAACCATCCTGGTGACAGCTGATGCACCACTGACATTCTCTTTCTTTAAAAAAAAACAAACCGGGAATTAGAGATTAATTTAGATGTAAAACCTAACTTTCCAGATAAAGTTCTTAAATGCCCTGTATTTCATAAAACATATACTTCATACACAAGGGTAGGGTTATGTGCAAATAAACTCGACATGCACACATAAGAGAATTTAATGTTCACGACACACAGCAAGTCTAAGAAAAATTACGTTTTCATATAAACTTTTAATTTCAGTTTAAAATTCAAAACTTTCAGCCAACTTGGCCAAAGATTGTTAAAACCTGATCTAATTTCTAGAATCCTGATTTGATCCTCCTATCTTCCTGGGCCTGGCTTGGTACTTGGATCTACCCACTAAGTGTTCACCTTCCAAGTCAGAAAGTCACTGCATCCTTAGTAAGTAAAAGTGTCCTGTCAAAGCAAATAATACTGTATTGCCTATGTGAATCCACCCTTTTTAATGAGATAAACCCACACAAGGTCACAATTTCCAGAGGAGTTATCAGCATGTCAGCTCTTTTTTTTTCAAACTACGTTTACCATAGTAAATCAACCCATTCTCCAATATCATTGCCCTACTTAACCACTGGTACCAATGAAGTGCAAAAAAGGGTAAAAGCAAAGCAAAATGCAATTTTAACAGCACACCAGAAGCACTAAGCCATAGCAAAACTGCAAGGTTAGAGTCTAGATCGGTACTGGTTCTCAGCAATCCCCCTCCTACAACTAGGTTTTTCAGAACTTCCTAATCTTTTTTCCTTAAGATGGTTTTCAGTTCTGGATATTGCTTACTAAATCTAGTGTAGTGGGGCACTTTGAGAGGGACGGACTAAGAAACACATAAGTGACTAATACATAAGCACAGTTAATACTAGTAGCATTTAGAGTCTAACTCCGTGTTTTAGCATTATGACCATGAGCAAGCCATTTAATCCCACTGAGTCACAATTTCATCATTTTTTATGACATCTCAGAGGGCAGATGAGAATTTAATGAGACGATCGACATACAGTGCTGTGCAGTGCCTTACACAAAGCAGGTGCTCAAATAAATGCTATTGGTGATAATAATTCTGGTATTGGTCCTCCCTTCAGAATCGCCACTTGTGAGGAGGTCCTATAATGGCTAGTGAGAGCTGGAGATTTAGATAGGAAGGCTGATACTCAGATGGGAGGAATGGCGTGCCCAAAATTACAACTCTTGGTTGGCACACTTGGTACAAGATGCAGGTATCCCGACTTTGGCTTTGAGCTCTTCTTCCCCACCACTCTCTAGGTATTATTAGGCAGTGCGTGTCTCTGAGTTCAAACTCAAGGAAACGGGAGTGTCCTATTTTAGCAAAGCTAACTGTGCTCACTGCACCTCTCTCTGCTGCTTCTCTGCTTCACACCAACCCTACCACTACCACTCGGATTCGTCCTAGCTTCTCACAGTACACCACCAGACTAGTGGATCGTGAAATCCTAGAGAGTAAATTCTGAGCCCGAACTTTGGCGTCGGCCACACCAGTGCGATCTTCAGAACCGACTGCGCCCCAACTGACAAGGGATTACAAATGATTGCTGTAACCACTGTTTCCTATCTCACCCGCTTCCCTTGTCAGAAAAGTGCATGTCGCCTTCTCAAACTTGCATCATGAAACGGCACCCACCTAAATAGAGGTCAAGAAAGACACCCCTCAGCCCAAATGAAAAAATTCTCCTTTTCTAGGAGTCGACGGGCGCGGCCATGCTGCTGTTACGGACAAGGCTTTTCCTGAGGACTTGGAGCAATCTGCCCACTCCCCAACAACTTAGAGGGCAAGTGCCTTCAGAGATAAACTCAGCGTTGGAGCCGACCTCACCGCACAATCCTACGGTGCTCGGGGACGGCTACGTACCCGGAAAGACTGCAGGGAGCAAAGTACGCAAATTTCCCGCGACGAGCAGCTGCAGATGAGAAATGCGCACGCGCAAGCGTGCGTGATGACGTCACAGAAGCGGAGATTTTAAAATTCTAACGGCGCTGGCGGGTAGACCTAGGTGTTGGTGTTTTGGCGGTGCCGTCTGTCTACTGGTTGATTGCCCGGATTACGGAAATTCGGCTGGAAGAAGGTAAATAGTTACCGCGGGTTAATACCGTGGCGGGGGTACAGGTTTGGAGAGAGAAAGCGACAAGTGCCCACAACTTAGGGGCGCGCAGGGCCAACGTTTTAAGGTCCGGGCCGAATCTGAGAGCCGCTAGTTTCCCGGAATTCGGTAAATTTCTACAAGGGATAGAGGAAGGATGATGGGAAGAAGAGAGGCTGGAGACCAGAAAGGGGGAAGAATTGATTGGAGCAGGGATAGAAACTGTGTGGTGTTTGAGGTACTAGTGTAACATCCTAGTGGCCGTGCAAGTACATCTCCAAGTCTTAGTCTTAAATCTTAAGAATACATTTCAAGTATTGATTAAGAGTGGGCATATAGGTTACAGTGGGAAAGTAGTTGATGCAGAAGCGTATATTGAAGAAGAAATAGATGCTCAAACCAAGAAGATGACAAGAAAAGTCTGGGATATTCTAAATTAAATTACAGCAGCCAGAGAAAGAGAACAGGTAGCCTGTTGATAGCTATGGACCAGCTAACAAAGAACTGTTCAGATTCATGTATGTTTGTGAGAATTTAGGATTAACTTCCAGGAAAAGGTTATCCTGAAGAAACAATGAATTAGCTGCCTTTCTGTTTGAGGATGAAGATTATAGTTGGTGTTGAGTAGTGCCTCCGGGGAAGATTTTTAACGCTGAATTCGTGAATGCAGGTCATAAGCATGAAGCGCAGTTCAGTGTCCACCGGTGGTGCTGGCCGCCTCTCTATGCAGGAGTTAAGATCCCAAGACTTCAATAAACAAGGCCTCTATACCCCTCAAAAGTAAGTACTTCATGCTTTATTGTCTTGGACAAAGAAATCTTTAAAGGTAGTTAATACAAAGCTAATGAGTGATGTGATGGTGAATCTTGCCTGTTCCCAGTAGTAACCTAATTTGGGTCAATGAACCTAATTAGGTGTTGTGTTTTATCTCATTTCATCCTTAAATTCTCAAAGTCGTGTATTTTGCAAGGCAACTCCTAAAATTAATTCCCTTCAGCACTCTTTATTTTTTCCTCCTTTATTGTGGAGCTGCTTGTTTGAGCCGGCTCTGTGCAATAACCTTCAATTTACTAAGGTATATTCAACTAGCAAAGTTCTCAATCAAGGGTATTTTTTGCCCTAATGATAAGCTGCGGTTTAGTAGCAACCTACAGAACACTTCTCCAAAATATTTTCTCAAGATTCACTGGATAAAGAACTTACTATCATAAACTAGTTTTGCCTTATGAGTCATTTTCTTCCAATTAAGAGAGGGCTTTTGCTAAGCCACTGTAGGGCTGTATCAATCCTTCTCTAATACCAAGTGACTAGAAAAAAGTTCTGAAATAAAATTACAGCTTATAGTGGCCTGAGAGTGAGAGAAGAGACTGTTAGCCTGTTAAGAACTGTGGGCCCACTCTGACAAAATATTATTCACATTTCTGTATATCTGTTGGGATTAGGATTAATTTCCACGTGGCTGTTTTTGTGAATGTCTGAAAGAGAGAATAGCCAGGTGCCCTAGAACCCCAAGAATCTCTGCTTGATATTTACACATAAACTTTTCATTCTGTTGTCCACAGCTAATCCATAGGAGTGGACACTTCTTCCTTGCTAACTCTACACCTATCCCAGAGCTAGCTCCACTTCAGCTTCTCCCCAGTTTTGTCTATAGCTAAGGTAAAATTTTTCAGAACAACTTATAGCTCTGACTCCTCACCCCTACATTTGATGTATAAAGTGGCTTATCTCCGGGACATGAGACATGTCTTTTCATGTTGCCATGCTGCTGGAGGTTCAGACTTCATGCCCTAGGACCTGGTCTTTTTTGCTAACGTTGGCCTAATCTTTTCTTTTAAAAAAGACTTTCAGCCATGAAGTTAACTTTTTTTGTTTAACACAAGGTACAAGTTTTGCTTGCTAACTGTTTTTAAATTACTTAGGTTTACATAGTATGGACCTCTGCTATTTTTAGAAATTTGAAATATTTATAGATGTTTTTCTTTTTTTTTTTATTTAGTTATTTTTCAAGTACAGTATTCTGTTTATTTCTCCCATCCCAGCCCACCCCGCCCCATGCTCCCCACCTCCCTCCCATTTCCACACCCCTTAGTTGTTGTCCCTGTGTCCTTTATACTTGTTCCTCTAAATCCCTCCCATTTTTTCCCTTTAAATTCCCTCCCCTCTCCCCTCTGGTTGCTCTAAGTCAGGAAAATTATTTATGCTGTTGAATGTTACCTATGCTAAAAGATTTGTTTTGAATTGTATTGGAAGCCAAAAAGGCTTACAGTTGTCAATGTTTTAGGCTGTAATTCAGATCATTTATATTAAGTGTAACTGTGTGCTGCTATAGAGTAGGCCTAACCACTATGATTGGTGCTGAAAGTTTTCATGATTTGAATTATTTTTATAGGTAATAGGGAAGATGTTTTGGTGTTTACATATTTCTAAAAGTTTCTTGAACTAATATTTTTCAAAAGTTTGTTTTCCTCCTTTTTTTTTTAAAGCAAAGAGAAACCAGCCTTTGGAAAATTGAACATTAACAAACCCACATCTGAAAGAAAAGTTTCTGTATTTGGTAAAAGGTAATGATCTTTTTTATTACTTCTAATGAAGAGATTCTTAAAGCCATGAGTTGGGCTAAGTGCTGTGTGGATACAAAAAATTAGCATGGCCCCTTTCAAGAGAAAGCTTTAATCTAGCTCTCCTCTGTTTAAATGGTTATATCTGTTTTAGATGATGTTAGAGACCTATCAGCACAATCAGACTATTTCATTGTTACCAGTAAATAGTTAATTAAAAATTCTATACCAATTTTCAAATACTATGGAATCATAGCATTTAACATTAAGAGGAACTGTCATCTAGTTCAATATTTTAGTTCCAGACTTTTTTATACACTAAATATTAAGGACTCCAAAGAGCTTTTATTTTGTGGGCTGTATTTATTACCATATTAGAAATCAAAACTGAGAAAACTTTAAAACATGCATTAACTGAATTTAAAATAACAACACATTACATGTTAACATAAATAACATGCTTTTGATTTAAAATTTTCAAAACAAAATTTTCAATAAGAGTATCATTGTTTTACATTTTGGCAAATCTCATCAATGTCTGACTTAATAGAAGCTAGCTAAATTCTCATATCTGCTTCTGCATTTAATCTCTTACAGTATCATACATCATATAGCCAGCCTCTGGAATACTCTACTGTAAACTTGTGGGGGAAAGGGGCGAATAACATCTTAGTTTTTTTTAATGAAAATAGTTTTAACTTCTCATGTCTCTAGATCACACTTTGAGAACCATTGTCTAGAGTAGATTATTGGTTGTTTGACCTGGAGGTGGAGCAGGACTGACTAATAAGAAGTATAAGAGTTTGGGGATAATAAAAATCTTCAATCTTATTGTGGTAGAGATTACACAAGTGTATACATTGTTAAACCTCATTAAACTGAACATTTTATTCTAAGCAAATTGCACCTCAATAAAGTTGATTTTTTTTTTAAGAAATGTTCAACCCCAAAATTGAGAAAATAAACTTTTTATTTCACCAAAACAAAATCTAACTATGTTTTAGGATAAATAATTTCAATTGTTTTGAAAGTATTTAGAGATGAAATGTTTGTTATGTTAGGAAAAGTCTGCCATGAAACCGAGTTAAACTGTTTTCATTTGGTTAAAAATCTCAAGGCATTTTTGTAATATAACTTTTATCTCAGAGCTGAACTTGACATAGTGATAATTTTAAAATCTAACATTTGTAGAATATTTTTATAAACCAAACATTGTTTGAAATGCTTTATATTAACTCTTTTAACCAGTCCTCAGAACTGCACTGTGAATAGATATTGTTATTGTCTCCATTTTAAAGATAAGGAAATTGAAGCACAGAGAATTTAATTTACCCAAGGTCATACAACTAGTATTACAAACAGAATTTGTCAGACTCTATTACTAGGTCCTATGATCTTAAATTATAAGTTAATGATGCAGTATTTTGATTGGGAAATTCTCTTATAATTCAGAAAAGATATCTATTAGTATAGTTTTATGTAGAGTAACAGCTATATATTAGAGATTAAGTAATAGCAGCATGAAAAAAAGTGGTTCTCAAATTAGCAAATTCTGAAGGGAAAAAATTTGTAAGGACCTAAGCTAAAGAACTTTAGAACCTGGGCAAGAGAACTTGAATACAGCAAACACACTTGCAGGGAAAAATGAAGTTTTGATGAACATAGTTCAGATTTACAGCAAAGTTCATTATGCAGTCACCTTTAGGTATCCTCCAGAGATGTCTCAGGAGCCCCTGCATATACCAAAATCTGCATGTGTTCAAGTCCCTTACACAAAATATCACAGTATTTGCATATAACCCAAGCATATCCTCCTGTATACTTTAAAAATCTCTAGATTATTTATAATACCTAATAAAATATAACAAATGTATAAATACCATATTGTTTAAGGAAGAATAATGAGAAAAAAGTCTGTACATGTTCAGTACAGACACAACCGTCATAAATCTAACTACATAGTACATGTCATCAACAACATAACTTTTTGTATTAATATTGTCTATCCATGGTTGGTTAAATCTGTGGATGTGGAATCCACGGATATGGACTCAGTTTTGTGGCATCTGTCCAATAAAGAAAATTGTTTCAAAGATATTTAATAACCTACAATAGTGAGCTAAATTGAACCACATAGGTAGGAAAAAGAAACCATCATAAAGATTTAAACAAATTGGTTATCGTTTTGGGAGACAGGCTTGGGATGGAGCATATATGCTGTAGCCATTTATGAGTAAAATACAGCAACATATATTTATGGTAGATTAAAAATCAGACACATAATATTGCATGACATTATAGTGTTCATGAATAAAAGCATGCATAACCTATTTAACATCTCAATGGCAGTTTTTCCAGAAGAACCAGTTGCAAATAAAAGGGTTGGGAGTGAAGAAGCTATCACAGAGGGGTAAATAGGATGGTGAAGGGACTTAGGTTATTGAATAGACTTGGAAAACATTTGGTGCAGAAGATCTAGTGGACTCAGAAATGCACATTCTTAGAGAATGGGTCCAATGCAAAGCACCAGAAGTGGGTTTTTTTTAATACTTTACTATTTGTTATTTGCTCTGTTTTTCTGTTTGAAGAGAATTCTGTTTGCTTAAATAAAAATTAAAGAACTGTTGAACATTAATGTTTGATACCTGTGTTAAAATATAAAATCACCTTGAAATAATTTAGATTTGACCACAGAAGGAAATAGTTCTGACTGGTTTTTTTAAATATTTCCAGAACTAGTGGACCTGGATCTCGGAATAGTCAATTTGGTATATTTTCCTGTTCTGAAAAAATCAAGGACCCAAGACCACTTAATGACAAAGCATTCATTCAGCAGTGTATTCGTCTACTCTGTGAGGTATTTTATAATTTTAAATGGCCTAAATTATTAGTGTTTCCTTAAATATTTTCTAATAATTATTATAACATGTTTGATGTTTCATAAAAATTATTGTAGTTTCTTACAGAAAATGGTTATGCATATAGTGTATCCATGAAATCTCTACAAGCTCCTTCTGTTAAAGACTTCCTAAAGATCTTCACTTTTCTCTATGGCTTCCTGTGCCCTTCATATGAATTTCCTGATACAAAGTTTGAAGAAGAGGTTCCAAGAATCTTCAAAGGGCTCGGGTTTGTATGTTATGTTTCTTACTAGCCTAGACAGAATGTTAGAACACAGAAGAATCAAACTTAATAAATTTGTAAAGATTTTGAGTTAAGAGAAATAATATATTTTAAGATGGTCTCTATGGGCAACATATATAGGGTAACTTGAATAACTCTTGGAGGTTTTTACCTAACTATAGGTGATAGGTCAGAAGGCCCTCAACTATGGAAGTGATAAGAAATAGATAGTACCACAGAGTTCATAAAAACAAAAAAGACAGGGTTGAAGACGGTGAAGATATGGTGAAGATGGGTTGAGATAAAGTTAAGAAGCTATGTAAACACAGAGGGAAGAATGGATTTGAGGATGAAGAGTTGTGTACATGTGGTCTTTTCAAGGTACATTTAATCTGAGAGAACAGATGATCTTTTAGGTAAGAAGTCCAGCATATTGGTTGTGAATCAAGTTCTGCAGCTTAGGGGATATATGTACACAGAAACCTTCAGAGAGGAGACTGAAAATACACAGAATCCTTTGAAGATAAGAGACTAAGGACAGAATCTAAACAAAGATCTTCTAAAAACAAGTGGAGACTGTCGATGTATACGTGGAAGTTTCTAAGTATAACTTCTTGCTTAATTTAGAAATTACTTTTACAAAATTAAAATTAAGTTAGCTTATTTTTTCTAATTTTTCATAGGTACCCTTTTGCATTATCCAAAAGCTCCATGTATACAGTGGGGGCCCCTCATACATGGCCTCACATTGTGGCAGCCTTGGTTTGGCTAATAGACTGCATCAAGGTATTTGATTTTTCATTGTTGAATATATACGTAGAAAACATTATTTCCCCTCAAGGTATTTCTGTTTCTCTCCTAATCATGCTTTTGCCAATTATCTCAAAGTTTGCATCAGCTTCATTTTTCAAAGTATATTTGATTTTAAATTCTTCAAATTACTAATATATGGTTCCAGAGGTGAGGATAGGAAGTATCACATTTTCAAGGAGATTTGTTTTCATGAGGTTTTACAGTTCAAAAAAGTGAGTCAGTAGGAGATTATTTTCCCCATAACATTTATTTCTTTTCCTTTTCTAAATTAAAATTCACATCTATTGCAAAATAGATGCATTTGGAAAATGCAGAAAAGCATACGCAGAAAAGTTATGTACCCATTTCCCACAGCTCAGAGACAGCTTAAAACATTTCGCTGAGATACAGTTTTAAAGGTACATTTTTGCTGTGAAAATTACGTATATTTTTAAAACTTTTGATGCATGTTGGTAGATTCCAGAAAACTTGCACTATGTGAAAGCTCCTCAACAATATATGAGCATACTACTTTTCCCATATCATAGGCACTATTGCTTTAAAATCTTAACCCATTTGGAAGGTAAAAAGAGCTATTTTTAATATGTATATTAAAGCAATCGTGTTTTTGTATGGTTTGTCATAACCTATTTGTGCATATTTTTGGCCCATTTGGTATTTTATTATTTGCTTCTGCTATTAGTTTGAACCTTTATATATTGAATTTATGTATTAAACTTATTGATCTTAATTGCCAACTTTCATATTTGCATTTTTTGTTTTTAAACTTGGATATTTCTCACATTATTACTGCCTATTCATGTCTTTTGCCTTGTTTTCTTACTGATTTGTAGACACCATTTTGTATATCATAAATAGTCAAATTGAAGGAATTAGATCTTATGTATATGGTGCAAATATATTTTCCTTCTTTTTCCTCTTGATTTATGTGCTATATTTTGACTGTTCAGAAGCATAAATTTTTATCAGCCTAATACAGTTTATTTGTATAGCTTCTGAGTTTTTTGCCTTATAGTTGTTAAAATCCTTAAAACCAATATTGTCCCATCGTCATTCTCTTGCCCATCATCTAGCTCTTAACTAAATGTAGTCAGGCACTGGGTGGATGGATTTCTGACCCAGTAAACATTCTGCTACGTTCAGCACACCCAATTGTTAAATAGGAGTAGAAATCCAATATCATAGTTCATTAATACAACTCGTTTTAATTGATCTTTATATAGCATTTATGTATTCAATTTGTTTCTCCTCAGTGATACTCATGGACATTGGATAATCACCTTTCTGCTCCCACCATCAGATAACCTCTGTTGTTGCTCTAACACTTTCCTTTTTTGGGGGTTTTTTTTTTGTTTTTTGTGTTTGCCTTAGCAACTTATGTCATTGTTACGTGGTTGGGAGCTAGCATGTTCATAATCAATACAGGAAGTTGTAGAATACCTGTTGTGGCTTCTCTCAGCAAGTGAGCTCTTGAGGTGCCTCCAAGTCTATTATTTAAATCACCTTCCTATCTTGGTTTGCTTGAGGTGGTAAAACTGAACTATAGCAATTTAAGAATCAATGAGAGACTCCCCACTCAGGGATCTTGTTTTGATCCCTATGATAAGAAAGTTTAATAAAATATTTTCAGCAGAAACACCTTCTCTTACTTTCCTAATGCATATAAGTTACATTTTTTAAAAAGTTATAAAAACAGTATTCAAAAGGAAATTTCTATGCATTAAAAACCTTTAGACATTTTTCCTTTAGCTCAGAAATTATAAACATCTGACTGTTTTGTTATAATTTATTATCTGTAATCACGTTGAAGTTTAAACAATTGTATTTTTGAAGAATTTTATATTGTAAAATTCAATCTAAATTTCATATTCATACATACTGAAGGAGTCAGTAGAGAACATTTGAGCACCAAAACTGAGTTCATATCAAAGAGAAATAATTACTGTTGGTTCACCTTTTATGTTTTGGATTCTTAGAATTACATTAAAATGTGTGTATATGCTTTTAATGGGTTGATAGAGTAAAAATCAGCATATTTTTCTCTATAGAATAGAACTAAAAAGAAACCCATCCTTTTTAATCCTAAGGGATTTAGTTACTAAAATATCTAAAGGATTATATTTTAAGGCTCAATATAATAATCTCTGAAAAGACTTTCAAGCAGGCAATAATGTAAATGCATCTTAAAATGACACTAAAAACAGTCAACAAAATGTGAGAGCTATATGTTTTTCTCATAAACTTAATATGTTGCTTATGTACCAATTAGTTACATACTGCCATGAAAGAAAGTTCACCTTTATTTGATGATGGCCAGCCTTGGGGAGAAGAAACTGAAGATGGAATTATGTATAATAAGGTACCTCTCATACCATAAACATTAGCATTCTTGATTTTATTAACTAAACATGTCACTATTGAAATTAATATGTTCTTTTGTAGAGCTTGTCTTTTTGCTTCCTAAAAAACTTCTAAAATTGACTTTTTAAATATTAGTCAATGGATTTAATATTAGAGTGACATTGTAACTTCCTGAAATGAGGCAAAGTAACTTGGAATGTTAACTACATAAATAAAAAATACAAGGCAATTGGAATTAAATCATGACATGTTCTTATTAATGTATACATATAACATTTCTTTTCCTCTCTTTCTTAGAATGAAGATATTAGTAAGGCAGCATTATTTTAATATCATTTTTTGTCAGTACAAAGCATAATAGATTGGGTATTAAAATATTGGGGTTTTGTTTGTTTCTTTTATTTTGGCCTTTTTAGTTAGGCATATTGCCACTTAGAGTTACCACTTCCAGAAGTAAACAGATCATCGAAACTGGTTTCCAAACCACACTTTATTGGAGCCCAAAATTTGTAACTAGCCCAACTCTATTTTCTAAAACATACAAAGTCATGTTTCCGAATGCAGCAAACAGCTCTAACAAATTTATAATGTTGAGATTAAACATTAATGTCCTGTGGCATATGTAAAAAGACCTCTCACCAGGCAGGGACCTAAGAAGAAAACCCATTATCCCATTATCTGCTTTAATTCTTATCTTTATTCTTTGGAGCATTTCTCATAAAAAGAAAGTAGAAATAACTTCAGACTCACCTTTTTTATTATTGCCTGGGAAAATATTCAAAGATGTATCAACTGACAGACATGATATCATTACTTTTTTTGTTGTTGTTAACAAAAACTGCCCCTTTTCTACATCAGCTACTACCTGTTCTCAAGCTGCAATGTGTATACAGGACTGGATTTATTTATACCTCAGATTTTACCCAAATGTAAACACAACACTTAATAAATATTAAATTTTGGCATTTATTTTGAAGGTTAAACCAGTAAAAGTTACTCTTGCCATTCTAGCTATTATTTTGGATGTCAATATGTAGGGAACACTTTGTTAACTATGACGTGCTATTTTTAGAAAGTTATCAAAGTATTTAACTTGGACAGATTCTGAGCCTTTGCTTTGTGGGGTCCAGAAACTCTTTGTTGTTTTTTTAATCTGAAAAATCAAATTTTACTGAACTTAAGAAAACTGATTCATTCTCATTGAATTCACAAGAGACTTATCTGGTGTAAAATGAAAATGTATTCATTTACCATCAGTGATTCATTTGTTTAGCTACAGGAATATGTATGCTGCCTGTTCAGAATACTCCTTTCATATCAACCAAATAATAAGGTTGCTTAGAAAAGCACAGAGTCCGTGCAAAGGGAATTGGTTTGTCTTAAGGGATACTTACTTTATCTAGGCTGTGGAAAAATTCTGATCAGCCATTCTTACCTCGTAACAAAGTATGCATTCTCCATGACCAAAACAACTTATAACTGCAAAATATAGTGTTACTTTCTCCTAGATAAATATTAACAATAATACTATTCTACTGCTTAGAGCTCTACTAATCATGTCATTTTTTAGTCCACAGTTACAGTGAAATTATAGCCTTTATTAATTACAGTATTTTGCATGTATAATATGCACTTTTTGCCCATATTTTTTGAGGGAAAATAAGAAATTTGTCTCGTACATTGGTATGATGATTGCGTGCCATGGGTATAATCCGTCTATAAGTGGGAGCACATTATACACGGCAAAATACAGTAATTTCTGGTTTTCACAAGTAGGCCTTCTGAGTTTAATTGGACTTACATGATTAGTGATTCATCTCATTTTTTAATAAAGTAGGTTATCCCTAAATATAAACAAATTTGTGCATTTCCTGTTAAATTGTAAATTTTGTTATGAATTAATAAGCTCCCTTGTGTGGCCATATCTCATTCTGAAGGTATGGAGTTCTTTTTACTGTTCATTAAATATCACCCGTATCCAAATTTAAGTTTTGTTTTTTCATCCTCAGTATTAGAAGTAGCAAGCTAGATTTGTGCAGCATAATTAATGATATACCCCCATGTTTGTGTCTCACTTATAGGAGTTCATATAGCAACTTAGTATTCTGGACCTTTTTTTTTTTTAATTCAAATTTAAAGTTCCACTTAGAAAGGTGAAACAAATTAAATAGAGAATCATGGCTTTGTTTTTAAATCTGCTTAACCCAATCAGTTGTTTTTGGACTACACCATAAAATGCTATGAGAGTTTCATGACCGGTGCCGACAGCTTTGAGGAGATGAACGCAGAGTTGCAGTCAAAACTGAGTAAGTGTTCTCATTCCTAGTGTTTACTTTGGTCATTTATTTAACTCAGGCCATGGAGTCGTAGCTTGGCTTACCATACCCAGTGTTTATATAAGCTACTCACTTTAAGTTCGTTTGGCTGCTTACTGATTTCTATTTTCATTGATTTTTTTTTTTTTTGATGAAGAGAAGTAAAAATTGAGCAAAAAGAATACTGGGGTTGGAGTCAGACCTGAGACATTGCCCTTTACTGGCTATATGACCTTAACAAGTAATTACCAAAGTTTTGTGAGATTAGATGGCCATACATAAAGTTGAAATATACTACCAGGAGCACAGAAGATAATCAGCAAGTGTTATTCGTCTTGGAGGATAATATTTCCGTGGTACCCTTTTTACTGTTTGAGAATTAAAACACCAATTAGTCAGAAGACCTAAGGTCGCCTTCAAAATTTGTGACAGAAAGTTAACCATTATATTTCCAAAGAAAAATGCCAGAGTGGTAGGTAAAATGGATCTGTTTGTGTATAGCTCCTTCTCCAAAGACAATAAAATCAATCAAACCGAGAATATTGCCTTGCCACTATTAGCAGAAAAGATGAAAGTTCCCTTTATGTTCCCCTGGGATGCACCTTCCAGAAGAGTGACCAGGGTAATTACAGCTTCTCCAAATGAGAAAGGGAGCAAGGTAAATTATGTTTTAAAAAAGGATAATTCATAGTGATCTAATACAAAAAGCATCTGTTGAGTCCTTTGGTATTTCTTTTTAAAATTAGTTAATCATAACTTGTATTCATTTATTCTATACCTATTCTATGCCAGCCACCATTTAGGCACTGAGGTAATGAATGAGTGATAAAAATTCCTGCCCTATGAGCTTATATTCTTATAGAGACAATAATCAAATGAACAGCTATAAGCCAATGGTGCTAAATGCTATGCAGAAAAATAAAGCAAGACCAGGAAGTGGAGAGTGTCGTGGAGAAAGGAGACCCGTTTCCTATTTTAGAGAGGGTGGATGTCCTTCACTGACAGCGTTTTGCCAGAGACCAAGAGGAAGTGAGAGAGCGATGGGAAAAACCTGGGGAACAATGTTCCAGACAGATTTGATATCTTACAAAGTTTTTGGGTTTTGTCTCCAGAGGATTTATTTAATGTAGATGCTTTCAAGCTCGAATCATTAGCAGCAAAAAACAAAGCACTGAATGAACAGATTGCAAGATTGGAACAAGAGAGAGAAAAAGAACCGGTTAGTAAACATGCTTATCTTTAATAAGCTTATACATTTACTTAGCTCTTTTGGATCATTGGGTCTCCTTACTGAATACCAGCTATTAAAGTCTTTTAAGAAATATATTAACAAAATAAATTTTTTAAAAGTAGGATTTTCTTTGTAGGACAGAACTCCCAATGAAAACATGTTTGGTGCCTCTGGGACTTTGTTTTCCCTTGTGGTCTATCAGTATTGGACTAATGATGTTCACAGTATGATGAAAGAGTCTTACCTATTTACATAAGACCGAAAGGATTTTGAAGCAGGTCCCTATGTAATACACCTCTAAGGGAGTATTGTTTACAAGAGCCCTGAGTTTTGCAGTGGAAAAAGATGGTAATAAAAGGGTTTAAATTAAGTATGATATATTCTAGGGACTTTCTAAATGCTAAATGATAGTAATCAGATATCTAATTTTATTTTGTGTATTATTGAAGTACTTGGACTGTTCTGTAAAATGTCAGATTTTAAATGTTTGTGCTTTTTTGCTCTGGCTCTTGACATTTTCTATCCCAAACTGACTTCATAAAAAGTACATCTTCTTAATTATGTAATAACAGCAAAGTCCCCTGACTCCCTCTAAAAATGAAAGAGAAACTCTTATTTACCTTTCTCTAAGATGAATTTAAATAATATTGTTTTACTTTCAAGTAAAATATGGAATTATTATTGATGAGAATACTAATTTAATATTCTTTTCTTTTAAAGAATCGTTTAGAGACATTGAGAAAACTGAAAGCATCCTTACAAGCAGATGTTCAAAAATATCAGGCATACATGAGCAATTTGGAGTCTCATTCAGCAATTCTTGACCAGAAATTGAGTGTTCTCGAGGAAGATATTTCTAGAATAGGTAAGCACAACTAATGCTAAAAGAGGTTATTGAGACTGGGAAGGGGACTTGTGTGGGATTTATCACATGTAGAAAGACACCTTCATCATCCATATCTTTTCTCCTTTAATGGTAAATATCTAATAGGCTACCAAGTTTTAAGCGCTTTCTGTATTAGTTGTTTGAGGCTGCTATAACAAATTACCATGAATTTGGTAGTTGAAAACAACAGAAATTTATTCATTCACAGTTCTAAAGGCTAGAAGTTCAAAATCCAGCAGGACCAACTTGCTCTGAGGACCATGGAGGGTATATCCATTCCTTGCCTCTTTCAGCTTCTGTTGTCTGATAGCATTCCATGCTTGCGGGCGTGTCACTGCAATCTCTGCCTCCATTCTCACATTGCCTTCTCTGTGTCTGCCTCTCATGTCTGTGTTAGTTTCTCTTTGCCTCTATCCTTAAGGACATTTTTATAACATTTAGGGTCCATATAGATAACCCAGGGTTATCTCATCTCAAAATACTAAACTTAATCACATCTGCAAAAACTCCCCTTTTCCAAAGAAGGTAATGTTTACACACTCCAGGGATTAGGGCTTCATATCTTTGGCTGGCCATTGTTCATGCTACTATACCTTCTAACATGTTTTTGGGCACCTGGCTTTTTGAAGCCAGGACGGACCTAACCTAAGAACATATACTGCCTACAAATAAATACATGTTCTATTCCACCTTCCAATTAATAGCTAGATTCTTGAAGTACTGCTAACCTCAGTGTACTGTAATTCTCTTATCCTCCATCACTACCTTCTACTCAGCAGCTTAAGCTGACAGAAAACGCAACAAAAAGATGCAAGTACTACAATCCTTATGAAGCAGGAGCCCAAGTACAGAAAGCTTGTTTATAGCCTGTGTGTTTCTAACCGTGTTTTCATAAACTTTCTAGTGCCAGAAGGGGAGCAAAGGAAGATATCTACAAATCACAGAACCACTGGATGGCAGTTACAAAATAAATAACTATGTGGACCTACTATGCTATTTTCCCAGGGCTTTGCCTGCTTTGATTTTATTCTTTTTTGGATTTTTACAGGCTCTGTCTGTCCCACATAGGAATTGTGTAGATTGTCCTTAGGATATTTGATTTAACTCTTTTTGTTTTCTTTTGTTTTATTGTATTTTTTCCAGTACCATTTAGTCCCCCCTTTATCCCCTTTCTGCCCAATAATCTCTGCACTGTTGTCCATGTCCATGAGTCTTTTTTCCTTTTTGCTCAGTCCCTCCAGCTCCTAACCTCCTCACCTCCCAGCTTAGCTGTCCTTATTTAACTCCTATCCTATAGAATATTGGCCATGTGTCAAAGATAATTATTGAGGGTATTAGCTAAATCATTTTTTCCAAAAAAATCTTTGATTGTATATAATATTAGATTTGCTCTAAACCAATTCTTTGAATAGTTTGTTTATACTTGGTCCCTAGTATTTGTTCTCCATCATGACAAGGAATCATTGACTAATTTCTTGGTATAGCAATGTTTGTCATGCAATTAAATCAATACTTTGTAATATTAATACTTGATCTTGTTTATTGGTATTTGAGATTTTTCCTGCTTTCTATTTTTTTTTGTATTAAGAATTCTTTTCCAACAATTGTAAACTAAATAAAAGAGAAGTAGTTCAGCAATCATTTGCCATCCCAGAGTGATTTAATTTGAGACAATAATTCGATAACTCTTAATCTAAGACTGTTTTATTTTGGGTATTTTAACTTTCTTAATTATTTAAAGCCATTCATGTCCAAAAGTGAATGAGGCATATTTAAAATGTACAGCTATTATATGTTTCAGATTATTCGTGCAGACTCCTGTATAAAATTTTGCCTAAGCCAACCATTAATTTATTATGAGTTCAGGTGCAGTGCTTTCCAATAACAGTGCTACAAATAGATTGTAACAAAGCCAAGATCTGGATCCTGTCAGCCCTCAGGATGATTTCTCTTGGACCCTTGGGTCTTGAGCATCCTCACCCATTTATCCCAGCCTGCTCAAAAATGTTGACATCTTTTTTATAAGCAATAGTCACAGAAGGTTAGAAAACACTATGCTATATAACCCAGAATATTTTAAATTTTATAACTTTTCTTTCTATTTGCATAATGATTTGCTATCCGCCCCGTATTTTCTTGGTACAATATAGTCATTCTTGATTACAAATTTTGGTAAATAGATAAAGTAAGAGCCTAGTCACCATGGTTACTTTATCTGATAAAACCACTGAAATATAATAAAATTAAAAACTGATATATTTTAATACAGATATTTTTATGTGAAAAATTTGTGTTTTCCAGCTTATTGCAGAAAATTGTGTAGGAGTATTAAAAGCATTCAAACTGAACATTGACAGACTATGCTTTTTAAGTGTAGTGCTTCTTAATCGTAATCATTGTGTGGGGGATAATATTTTTTTCCTGTAGCACTTTCTGAAAACCATAGTATGGCAATAGGGAAATACGGTTCATGGAAAACTTTGTCATCTTTCAAGGATGTTATCAACAAAATGGGATCAAACGGAATTATCGAAAAAATCATACACCTATATAACTTGAAAATTTAGATACCTTAATCGAGTGTATTAAATAATAGCATGATTTCTTTCTAGGAATCATAAGAATTTAACAAATTTGTTTTTTTCTCAATGTAGAACTAGAATGTGAAACAATGAAACAGGAGAATGTTCGACTACAGAATATTGTTGACAACCAGAAGTACTCAGTTGCAGATATTGAGAGAATAAATCATGAAAGAAATGAATTGCAGCAGACGATTAATAAGCTAACCAAGGACCTGGAGGATGAACAACAGCAGTTGTGGAACGAGGAGCTAAAATATGCCAGAGGCAAAGAGGCGGTATGTCATATTTCCAAAGTGGCAGCTCACCAGAGCAGACCTGGGTAAAGGTCTGTCCCAGTTAAGAACTGAGAGTAGAATAAATTAGCTAAAGAGGTAAAATTTTTAGCTTTGACATTTTACTGAAACACACTCACTCATCCCTTTATGTCAATTCAGTAACATCCTATTTTTTCGTAGTCAAATTTAACATAGACTTTAATTTCAAACATTATAAGTTCCTTTTATTCTAGGAGATGACGAATCACCTCTTAATTTACCTATTCACTACAGAAGCATTTATTGAACACCTGCTGTGTATAACTCATCATGCTGGGCATGGAGGAAATAAAAACAAAAAGACGTGGATTCTTCCCTCCAGAAATTTCTAGCGTATTGTAGTAGATACATTTCTACCATGAGATTAGGCCTGTAGAAGGATTTACATTCAGTACCGAGGAAGCAAATAGTATACCTAACCTAGATTTAGTGTGTATTGTGTAGAGAGATGGATATGGTGGGGGTGGGGGTTGTTTTTGTTTTTTTTTTAATTCTTTCCCAAGGACATTTCTTCTCTCATTGTTTTCAGAGGGAGAAGAAGGGGAGAGAGAGAAAGAACAAAAAAAAAAAACACCATTTGGCTGCCTCTTGTTGTAGGATCTCCAACTGGGGATCAAGCCCACAACCTAGGTACGTACTGTGACCGGGAATCGAACCCACAGCCTTTTAGTGTGCAGGATGATGCTCCACCCAACTGAGCCACAACAGCCAGAGTGGCTATGTTAGTTTTTAGAAAGTCTTCCTTAAAGGGATAATACCTGAACTTAATTGAGAAATGTAAGGAAGAGTTAGCGTGACAAGGGTAGGAGACAGTCAGCAAAGAGTATATGGGAACACTCAGAAAATAGCATGATGCACTCTGGTATCCTAAGCATTTCATATGGCTTGTGCTTAATAGCAAGGGATGGGGACACAGCAACAAATAAGACTCAAGAGATGAGCGTGGACCTGACAGTAAAGATTCTTTTCATGTTTGGAAGTTTGGACTTTATCCTGAAAAACTCTAAGAAGTCCTTATAATTTTTAAACAGATAGGATCACATTTCAGAAAAATCTCAGTTTTGGTAATGTGAAAAGTGGATTGGAAGGTAGAAAAACGGTCAAATAGTAATCTGTGGCAGAAATGTTGGGAGAAATTAGAAGATGAATTTGGATAATGCTAGTGGAGATTCAAAGTGGGTAGATTCTGACTACTTTAGGAGGTAGATTAAAAGGCCTGATGAGAGACAGGGGAAGCACTGTCAGTGTCTAGCTTGGATGATTGAGCAAGCAGTAGTACCACTCACCCTGGAATAAAAGAGAAGTCACTAGTTAGGAATGGAGAGTGTGTGCTGAATCTGTTGTGCTCGTTGGACATCCAAGTGAAAATATCTGATAGCCTATTGTTATATGAATCTGGACCATCTTGCTGTGTAATGTAGGTTTGATAAAAATCAGTGTCCAGTAATGTGATTGAAGCCACCGGGGGTAGATAAATTTACCAAGGAAGACTACATAGGAAAATAGAACTCTAGGAACATACCTTGGAGTAGGTTAAGGTTCTTTAAGAGAGGCCTAAAAGGAAACTAAGGACTATCCAGAGAGGTCAAAAGAATAGAAGACTTAGCATTGTCAGATGCAATAAGAAGATTCAGAAGTTTCTGTCCGATTCACTAATAGTGGTCATTACTGATTTCCATCAAAAACAAATTATTTGACTTCATTTTAATCTTATAGATAGTACATTTATCATTTTAGCCAACATTGTTGAGAAAGTGGACTTACCATATGAATTTCTAGACAAAATTTATTCTTACTATTGTTGTTGGTGGCCTTATAAATTTCTATACTTCTGCCTTTTTTACATGTAACATTCAGTACACATGAACTTTTCATGATTCAGCATTATAATGGGCATGACACCGATGTATTCTAAAGCAATATAATAAATTAACAGGTTGTTTAGAGGCATCTATCAGTTTCACAGCAATCTTTTCTGCTATATACACTATTTGCATTCCTAAGAAAACTTATATAAAAACTTTTTTTAAGGAAAGGAAAAGAAAGCATGTCTTTTAAAAGCCTCTACTTTTAACAGTTTCAGACTTAAGTTTTAATTTGAAGTTTTTTATACTAGTGTTTTCATGTTTCTGTTCTTTTTTTTTTTTTTTTAAGATTTATTTTTAGAGAGAGGGGAAGGGAGGGAGAGAACCGTTTATGTGCTAGAGAAACATAGATCAGTTGTTTCTCACATGCTCCCAACTAAACATGCCCACAACCCAGACATGTGCCCTGACTGGGAATCAAATTGGCGACCTTTCGGTTTGCAGGAGGATGCCCAACCCACTGAGCCATATCAGTCAGGGCAGTATTTTTAGTTTTCATGTTTGTTTACTGGTAGGTGTAGTTCTAAAATTTAAGTATCACTAATAAAAAATTAGTCTCTATCTTTTGATCCAAAAGTAATGGCGTTTTATTCTATTACTTCCAGTTCTTTCTTTAGTATAATTTTTCTTATATTTATCACCATTGTTAAAATGAGAAAGTAACTCAAATGCAGTTATGTTTGTCTAAGGGGCAATACTGTTTTTTCATCCTGGTCACATTATAAAGTACATTATAGATGTAGTGCAGAAGGTTTCTTAATAGTTATATTATTAAAAATCTGTATTTTTATATTTACATATGTAATTCTTAACATAGACAGTTTAGTATGAGAAATAAGCAATATCTCCTTTTTTAGCCTTAATCTTCTCTACTCCCTCATCCTCCAAACTCTCTAGGTAATCTCTGCCTTCATGTATTAAGGAGAAACATATGCATTTAAAAGAAATAGCCTGTGGTGGTGATCCCTAAAGTTTTTGAACATAGAATTTGGTAAGCCTATGTTTTCACCCTGGATTTGCCACCTCATGCCTGTCACTTTAGTGTGTCATCTAATTTCTCATAGCTTTAGTTTCCTTATTTATAAAATGAAGTTTGGTTAGACTATATTGGTGAATCTGGAATGAGTTATTTCAACAGTTATTAATGAGCATATTTTATCTCATAGTAAAATGAGATACTGTTTATCTTGAGTGCTATGTGGGAAAAGAGAAGTTAGGAATCTCTGGACTAGGTAAACTCTTGAGTTTAATAGCTAAACTAGCTGTGCTGAAAAGAATGCTCCTTTTAATTTGGAGGACCAGGTTGAAAGAAAAAAGTTATCTGGGAAGTAGGTAAGCAATGGCCTGATGAGGAACCAGAGTAGATCCATGGATACTACAAACAAGGCCCTTGGGTAGTTGATAAGAGAGACAGTATAGAATGGTGGCAGAACGCAAAAATTCGATACATGTATTTCATTCATCTTTTTTTTCTGAGCTAATTTTTATTCTGTATGCCATTTCTGACTGGTAGCCTTCTGGGCTCTTTTTTGAGATAACACATTAAGAGTGCATCTAGACTCATCAGGAAACACAGGATCAGTTTTCACTGTCTGAATTGCTTGTGGGGAAGAGAAAGTAGAGACACATGTACCACATATTTGCTCTCCCTGCATTTAGGCATGATACAGTATATGAACTTGTAAAAGCTGTTTTCATTAGCTAAATGCTAGAAAACAACAGAAGCTACCCCTAACACCTACAAATCTTAGTAGTCCCTAGAAAACTATGATATACAAATTGTAGTAGTTGAGATGATTTCCTGATTCATTAAGAAGAAATCTTAAATGTGGGAAATAAGTAGAGTTAATAAATTTTTAGAAATGGCAAATTATTTAAGCACGTTCCTTCCAATGGGTAGTTTTGCCATTACATTTGTTCACTCAAAGCATTCATTTTTATAGATGGGTAACAGCAATGAGAAACCAAGTATGTATTAAATGGAAGAAGCAGGATGAAAACAAATTGCCTAGACTCTGCAGTTTTATTTCTTTAATGAAATATTAACTGTGTACCAAGTACTATTCTAAAGGCTGGGAATTCAGTTGCTTCTGTGGAGCTTATATTCAAGTAGTAGTGACAAACATATATGTCACAGAAATGAAAATCCTTAAAATATTGGCAAGATACTATTTTTGGTTTTCAGTAGTTTGACTATAATGTATGTACCTGTTTGGTTTGCTTCATATTTTTTCTTAATGTTTGTGCTACTTATTGGTTCTGAAGTTATTTTTAAAGGAAAGGTTGTGAATTTTTGTTAATACTTATATGTGACTCTATTTCCAAACTATTTGTCAGATAAATGGAATAACAATAATATATTGCTTACTAATTATAATCTTATGATTATTCTACAATTTTTGAATGAATAAAGTCTTTTATTCATGTTTTAAAACTGCCACTCTTAAGACTAGAAAATACTAAATTATTAACCTGCTAAAAGTACAGATAATATAATTTTGTGTAAAATTACAGAAATGCTGATTGGAAATCTTTTGTAATGGGGCTGTTTGATTTTTTTTAAACATTTCTTTTTGTCTTCTATTCTTATAGATTGAAACACAATTAACAGAATACCACAAGTTGGCTAGAAAATTAAAACTTATACCTAAGGGTGCTGAGAATTCCAAAGGTTATGACTTTGAAATTAAGTTTAATCCTGAAGCTGGTGCCAACTGCCTTGTCAAATACAGAGCTCAAGTTTATGTAAGTAATCATGAGTACTTAAAGGTTTTCAAATTATATGATTGATGTCTGGTTCATAAGACTATAATTAAAAGTTTAAACACTTCAGCATGTCTATTATGCAGAACTAAACATAGAAATAAACCACTGAAAGTTTTCATCTTCTTTCTTCTTGGTAGTAGAAATTTTCTCTCTATTGCTCCTTCCTCTTAGAATTATGTCTCTTCTTCCTCTCTCTTCTTCTCTGCCTATTTTATTTATTTAATTATTGGGGGGAAGGGGATTGTGCTTTATTAGAAGTCTTTATAAGGTGTGGTAACAAAGTCAGTTCGTCACAGAATTGAGAGAAAAGCATCTACAGAGGTGGCACAGCTGCCAAGAACCTTGAAAGACTTAAGGGGGTAGTCTGTGAGAAGGAGTGTCAGGCACAAAGACACGTGTGAAAACATGAAATATAATAGAGCATGAGGTGCTTCAATCAGTGATGAGAAATCTGCACCTAATTAAATATGACCAAGCGTATAATTTGGGGAAGAAAATTTTTTAATTTTTCTATTGCAATTTCTCTCAAATTTCAGTATTTTCATGGCCCTCCAAAAATAGCAGTTTTTAAAATACTTAATTTTTTATACAAAAAGGTCAATTCTAAAGTTATGCATTTTTCTTTTAAGAATTATTTATTTCTTTAATAAATTTTGGACATATGTTCCATCTTAGCTAGGTGCTAGAAATAAAATACCCAGAATGACACAGCCCCTCCCTTCCCAGAGGTTACAGTTTATTGGTTTATCAACCAATTGATTAAATAAATTGATTACTTTAAATAAAGCTAGATTCCCTTTCTATCTAAAAAAATGTATCCAGTAAACATTCAGTCTTTTATTGAATTGTTTCTTAAATAATTGCTAGGTAAATGGGCAGATAGGTAGCCAGCCAGGAGGAGAATGTACTCACTGTTGTTTTGAGTAATTTGACATGACTAGTGTAAGAAAATAATTACCTGAATCAAATCACTGTGGAAAAGATTAGCCATTACATAAAAAATACATATGTTCAGAAAAGAAGATAACATTTTTCATTTATCTCTGGAAATTATATTACATAATAATAGAACAATAAAAGGAGAAAGAGCATGAAGAAGGTACCATGCCAACTGTTATAAGTAGTAGTTGGAAAAAGTTAGAGGACATTACATCTTTCAAACACAGCAGCCCAAATTAAAACTCACTAATTACTTCAGAAGGTCTACTGAAAACATAGTAACTTATGGGGCTTTCTTTTGGAGTGATGAAACTGTTTTTGAACTAGAGGTGATGGTTATACAACATCGTGAATTCCTAAATGCCTCTGGATTGTACACTTTGAAAGTTAATTTTATGTTAAATTTATTTTACCATAATTATTTCAGTTTAATCTTTTTAATGTGTAAGTTTTACCTTAATTTTAAAAAAGTAATAATAATGAGAAACAGTGAACTTTTGTATTAAAACGGACCCAGAAAATAGCATAAAAACATAAGAAATACAAGCAAGTAAGCTTGTAGACTGGTGAATATGTGGAGATACAGGGAAAAATGGCAAAGCTCAGAGAACATGAAAGCTCCATGCCCCTTCCCAAATACTTTGCTGTAAGTTCCTGAGTTATATCCTTATTTAAATAAACTGGTAAACATTTACCTATCCTGGACACCCACCTTGCTTTATTTACACAATAGTCTACCCCAGTGATCGCTACAGTAGTATGTTGAAATGTTCCTTGTTTCTTATGAGTCCTCCGTTGTTTGGCTTATTCAACCAGTCCCTCCCTACTCTAGTCTTTAATTACAATAGAGTTAGAATGACTAGCAACAAAGAAAAGAAATGAAGTACAAGCAGATAATTGTAAGACTAAACAGCTGAAAAAGATTAAGAGAAAAATATACATATATAGCATAAAACATATAAATTGTTTTTGAGACTGCATTAAACTAAGCATATTTATAAAATGTTTAAATAATAACTGGATTTTCACAATAGATAAATCTAGAATTTTGCATGTATTCAAAACCAAAAGCAAGGTACATTATACAGTTATAAAAATTACATTTAAAATAGTTTTATTAATGTTTAAGGACAGTTGTCTCCATTTTCCCTCCCCAGTTCTCCCCCTGCCCCACGCATTCCCACCTCCCACCCTTGATCCTACCCACTTTGGCTTTGTGTCTGTGTCCTTTATACTTGTTCCCTGACAACCCTTGCCCTCTTTTCCCTCATTATCCCTCTCCCCTTCCCCTCTGGTTACCATCAATTCTTTATTTCAATGATGTTCATTTAGATTCAAACTATCACAGATTCACTTTTTTCCTCCAAAAGTGGCTCCTCCTATCACATTATGTAGATGCTTCATGAGAGAAAGTTTGTAATTATGTATGTCATATGTAACCCACATTTCTCTGTATTTTGTAGGTACCACTCAAGGAACTCCTGAACCAAACTGAAGAAGAAAGTAATAAAGCTCTAAATAAAAAAATGGGATTAGATGATACTCTAGAACAAGTAAGTAATAAAACATAGCCATTAAAAGCAAAAATAATACTTTTTAACTTCAAATTACATGTGGTTTGTGGTTTCTAATTTACTAAGGAATTAATTCTTAATAAAATATTTTAAATGAGAGTAGGGAATACCTTGACCCAGAAACATTTGAAGTAACTTAAACATCCTAGACTTCACACATCATTGATAATGAAGGGATATATGTAACTGAGTAAATTTCCCTTTGTTTTTAATGGAGAATTTCCTCCTCTACCATGAGATATTTTAATAATATTTCTTTTTATACTTAAAGAAATTTAAAGTGGCTACCTTAAAATGGCCCAAATAAAAGAACAGGTCAAAACTTCAGAAATAGAACTAAGTGATGGAGATGGCCAACCTATCAGATGCAGAGTTCAAAACACTATAACACTTAAAAGTAGGGGTTAACATTTGGGGTTAGAAGCTAACTAGCTATGATAGGTTAAGAAATTTCTTTTTACCAAATTTTTCATTGTGGACAGAATTCAGGGAGACTTAAATTAAAATATCTGTGATAGTCTGTTTCTAAAAGTAGTTTGCAGAAAGTTTCTGTTTCTGTCAACACCAATATTCCTGAAAAAGAACAGTACTATTGTATATAATAACCTTTAGATTAAGCGTTGTTATAGTTGATTAAGAAAATTTAAGAACTGGATACACCTTGCCTCTTCCCACAACCAAAAGAAGGACAACAACCAATTTAAAAACCAAAAACAACAAGAACTGCCAGAAAATCAAGCTGTATGGAAGTCCAACAACCAAGGAGTTAAAGAAGAAATATTTGTTTATACTGGTAGGAGGGGTGGAAAGGATGCCGCAAGGCAGTGGCTAGAGGACTAGGCGGTCCCACGTGCAAATAAACCAAGAGGAACAACTGGGGCATGGGAACAGATTGCGCAACCCAGGGTTCCAGAAAGCCTCAAAAACCTCTGTAAAAATCTGTGGGGCAGGGTGGGGTGGTTATGGAAACAGGAAAAACTCCCAGCCTCACAGGAAGGTTCATTGGAGGAACCCACAGGGCCCTAGAATATATATACACCCACCCACCCAGGAATCTGCGCCAGAAGGGCCCAGTTTGCTTGTGGGTAGCAGAGGAAATGACTGAAAGCAAGGCAGGAGCTGAGCAAGTGGCATTATTCCCTCTGACCTCTCCCTCACATACAGCTCCATGGCACAGTGAAGTGAGTTGTCCAGCCCTGGCAACATAACAGGTATGCCGAGACAAAGAAATATGGCCCAAATAAAAGAACAGGTCAAAACTTCAGAAATAGAACTAAGTGATGGAGATGGCCAACCTATCAGATGCAGAGTTCAAAACACTATAATCAGAATGCTCACAGAAATGGCTGACGACAGTCACAAACTAGAAGAAAAAGTAAAGACTATGCAAAGTGAAATAAAGAAAAATATACAGGGAAACAACAGTGAAGGGAAGGAAACCAGGACTCAACAATTTGGACCAGAAGGAAGAAATAAACATTCAACCAGATCAGAATGAAGAAACAAGAATTCAAAAAAATGAGAAGAGGCTTAGGAACATCCAGGACAACTTTAAATGTTCCAACATCCAAATCATAGCGATGCCAGGAGGAGAAGAGGAAGAACGAGAAATTGAAAACGTAATGAAGGAGAACTTCCCCAATCTGGCAAAGGAAATAGACTTCCAGGAAGTCCAGGAAGCTAAGAGAGTCCCAAAGAAATTGGACCCGAGGAAGCACGCACCAAGGTACGTCATAATCACATTATACAAGATTAAAGATAAGGAGATAATCTTAAAAGCAGCAAGAGAAAAGGAGACAATTACCTACAAAGGAGTTCCCATGAGACTGTCAGCTGGTTTCTCAAAGGAGAACTTGCAGGCAAGAAGGGGCTGGAAAGAAGTATTCCAAGTCATGAAAGGCAAGGACCTACATGTAAGATTGCTCTATCTAGCAAAGCTATCACTTAGAATGGAAAGACAGATAAAAGTGCTTCCAAGATAAGGTCAAGTTAAAGGAGTTCATCATCACCAAGCTCTTATTATATGAAATGTTAAAGGGACGTACCTAAGAAAAAGATCAAAAATATGAAAAGTAAAATGACAACAAACTCAAAACTATTAACAACCGAACTTAAAAAGACAAAAACAAAAACAAACTAAGCAAAGGTCAACTAGGACAGGAAAAGAATCACAGAAATGGAGATCAAAAGGAGGTTTATCAGTGGAGAGGGAGTAGGAGAAAATGGGGGAAGGTACAGAGAATAAGAAGCATAGGTATAAAACAGACAGGGAGGTTAAGAATAGCATAGGAAGTGGAGAAGCTAAAGAACTTTTATGTACAATGCATGGGCATGAACTAAGGATGGGGAATACTGGTGGGAGGGGAGGTACAAATTCAAAGGGAGTAAAAGGGAGCAAAAAAAATAAGACAACTGTAATAGCGTAATAAAGTATACTTTTAAAAAAAAGAAAAGCCTCTTTAATACAAACTAAAGATATTATTATGACATTCAACAATTAAAGGGAAAACCTACTTAATTCAGCTGTCCAAGTGCTATTGTCTGGCTGACAGATCTCAAGATACAGTTGCCAGCCCCACCCTCCATAGTTTTGCTCTCTACAGTTTTAGTTATCCATAGTCAACTGCAGTCCAGAAATATTACGTAGAAAATTCCAGAAATAGTTCACAAGTTTTAAATTACATGCTGTTCTGAGTTGCTTGATGAATCCTGCCCAAGATGTGAATCATCCCTTTGTACAACCTATTCACACTTTATACACTACCCACCTGTTTAGTCACTTAGTAGTGATCTCAGTTATCAGATTAACTGCTGTAGTATTACAGTGCTTGTGTTCAAATGTATATAGGGTTCGGTACTATCCATGGTATCAGGTGTCCACTGGGGGTCATAGAACTTACCCTCACGTATAAAAGGGAACTACTGTATAAAAGAAATCCTGTCATTTCTCAGAGTAGAAACTTGTTTATTTTTTCTCATCTGGAAATAAAACCTATGGTACTTCACAAATGCAAGTAAACCATGTATTTTTTTAATGTTAACCAATTCTGTTAAGACTGACTTTGTATTAGAAAGAATTCTTCCACTTGAAAAAAAATGAAAAATTTGTAACATATAAGTGAGGAATTTCATGATACACATTGTTATAATGTGGGGTTTCTGTAATATTACAATATGAAAAGAATATAAGGAATTAGGACTCCTTTAACAGATGCTTCGTAGGCATGATGGTTATCTAAGTTGAACTCTTCCTGTAGCCTGCTTCAATGTGTTTTCTGACTTCCATAGTGATGTACACCAAAAAACCAAGAGACTCAACAAAATGTGAAATGCAAGCAATAGAAACCTTGTGACTGAAATATCTTTCAAATTTACTGAAACTTTTTAAAGTCTATAGGAAGGAAAACTGAAGAGGAGAGGGGATTATGAGATGCCTACTATGGGCAGGTTAATGTTCCAAAGATAAAGATAACTGAAATTGATATGAAATGTAAATTCCCATTTGGAGAAAAGACTGATGTGCAGTTATGCTAATCAGATTTATATTTTTACAAAAATCATTTGACCATTGAAAAAAGTGAATTGTAGGTGAAGCAACTAAAATCATTAAGAGGGCCCTGGCTGGTATAGCTCAGTGGATTGAGTGCAAGCCTGTGACAAACAACCGCAGTTCAATTCCCAGTCAGGGCATATGCCTGGGTTGCAGGCCAGTTCCCAGCAGGGAACACATGAGAGGCAACCATACATTGATATTCCTGTCCCTCTCTCCTTCCCTTCCCCTCTAAAGATAAATAAATAAAATCTTTTTATAAATAAATAAAATAAGATCGTTAAGAGGTTAATGTATTATAGTAGGAATGGAAGTGTAAGAAAGGGTACAGGTTTAGGAAATTTTAAGAAGGTAGATCCCAAGCATTTAATGGATGAATATAAAACCTAAGAGTGAAAGAAATATCAACAGTGAGTTAAATTTTCATAGTGTAGGCAGCCTAGAGGAAGAAAAATGAATGTTGGAGTGGCCAAGATGGTGCTAGAGATGTTGAGCTTGCTATTTTGGGTACATAGACATTCAAACGGAAGTTAAAGAAATAGATTGAGAACATAAGAGAGAGGTTGAGTCCAAAATTACAGATATCAGGATCTTTGGCATTTATGTGATAGTTGAATATGGGAGTGATATTCATAGGGTACAGGGAAGTGGCAGAGGATTGAATCTTTGAGAAGGAACAACACTTAAGGGATTGGAAAATGAAGAAGATTCTGGGAAAAATACATCAAGGAAGTAGACAAAATAGTTGGAGAACAATCAAAAGAAAAGAATATGCTATAAAAGCCAAAGTAGGGAAGACTTTTCAAGAAAGGAGTGATCCCGATTAAACTTAATGTACTAATCATTTCACAAAAATGCATATATCAAGTCATTGTGTTGTACACCCTAAATATATACATATATAAAAACTATTTTTTTAGTCTGATAATCTGTTTAACCAAGTTAAAATGGCATAAGGTAAAATACCAATTTGAAATAGTAAAGTTTAAACAAATAAATAAATTAGAATAACAAAACTAATCAGTCCGAAAAGTACTTGAAAATAATTACCAAAGTCATTTAAGAAAAAAGCAGGAAAATGTGAATGAGAAATCTGTATGCTACAAAGGTAGAGGGAGTTTATTTGAGTTATGAAGTAGTAAAGTATTAACACAAATCTTTAATATTTTTCACGTATGAAGTCTTATAATACTCATACCACAGCTTTAAAAACACATTACAAAAGAAAATTAAACCCGTTACACTTATGAATATGAATGTAAAGTTTAAATATTAGCAACTGAAATTTGTTCAGATATTTTTTGAGTGCCTCCATCTGGTGTTGTAATTGATGTTGGTAATACAGTGTCTGCCTTTATGAATTCTATCTCAAGAATGAGAAGGAGGGCCTGAAAACATTAACTTTTGTATCATTTTTGTAGTGTAAATA